TCGCATGCGTGGTGGATATTTAAATGTCGGTCCCCATATAGGCTAGTTTCTGCAACAGCTCCTTAGGTAGATGGTGCTCTTTATTTTGATACAGTTGTGAGTAGCTTTTATAAAATAGTACTTTTTACAATTAAGGTGATTTGTAAAGTAGTACCTGTTGTAATTAAAATGACTCATAACTTGGAACTTGAAAGGAAGAGATTTCTAAGAAAGAGTGACTACAAAGCAGTACCTATTATAGGTAGTCTTTTAATGTTTTCCCGCAGTCAATACAGAATGAAATCAAAGGCCTAACATTCGGTCTTAAACAAGTTTACAGAAAACGACCCTATTTGCTTACACCGCCATTACAGCGACTAAAACATTTACGAAAATGCAGACTTTGAACGGGGTGTTTAAATACCTGTAACATCAAGTGATTAACATGCCTCGCTTACAACATAGGAAATCAAATATAACGTAGCTTGCCTTGACGATTTTTATCCATTAGTAAGCCATACACCACATTTTTTTTTTCTAGTGAGTCCATAAGTGCACCCATACAAGTTTGGTTTAATTCAGACTTATACCTATTTGAGAATGGATATGATTCAATAAATTTAAGGTATTCAGTAATTATAGAGAAAAATGTTTGTCATTTTAAACATCAGGAGCAAGTCTAGAAGGTTTATCATCCATGAACGTTTAATCATAACAGGCCTTAAAATTTAAGAATTACTCCGAAAATTTTATCCTAGTCAATCATGCGACTAAGTACAAATGACAATAAATATTTTCATGTGTTACAATGTACTTGTAATAAATAGATTTAATAAATAGAATTTTTCAGGTTTGAAAGATAAAATGTTTTTGTAAAATATTTAGTTAATAAACTTTAAATAAAGTTAAGTCGTTCAAGAAGCATGAGGCAGGGTTTAATTTAAAAGCATTTATAAGAGTAAACAGTGTACGTTTAAGGTCATATGGCTGGAAAAAATATCACGACAGTTGTGTTTACATTAGAGGGTCATCTAAGTTGAAAGGAATACAGGTTAAGGGCATTGCTGCTTCCTGCAAACAATACAGTTGTCAGTCCATCTAAAGATAACAAATTCAATCAAACATGCATCATTTAAATATATTTTTTTAGAAACACTATTGATTCTCTTTATCAATCTACCGTTTCCTAAATGTTGGTCATAAAACTCAATTATTGTCCTCAAAACGCAAACGAAGTTTGAAATTTAAAGAACCCATAGATTAGCAATGGGTATTTAAAAATCTCTCTAAAACAATTAGGTTGTTTCCGCACATTTCTTTTGTAGCGAGTCCATAAGTGCACCCATACAAGTTTGGTTTCATTCAGACTTATACTTACTTGAGAATGGATATAATTCAATAAATTTAAGGTATTCAATAATAGTGAAAAATGTTTGTCAGAGATTTGAAGTCTCGAAATACTCGGATAATATTTTTAATTTGTATCTGAGATTTTTTTTATAAGTGTCATTTGTTTGATTAAGATATTTGTATCTTTGGACGAAAATAATTTCTGTACTGTATTTAATAGGCATGACCCGTCTCAAAATGGAAGAATTTGGCCTTCAAAGTCACAATCGATGCAAGTTCCCTCAATGTTCATTTATGTTGTAGACAGCCTTGGTTTTAATATACGTTTCTTTCTCGCTTGAGAGAACTATATTAGTGAAATCAAGAATTTAACGACACGAAATTTACATACAGTATTTGGTTGCTCATTTGAGCCATTTTCAATTGCGTGAGGACTGCTTTTAAAATTAGTCAAGTTATCTAAGGTATTAATATCTGGTAGTTCAAGGTAAAAAAAATATAACGAATTTTTCCATACTAGAAATAAGTATGACTCAACATGCAAATGTGTGTAAATTTGTCTTTAATAACCAGTTGTCAGCTAATAAATTGAGCATGAGTCGAATTACTTTAAGTTTAGGTACATTACATGAAATAAAAATATAGTTAATATTGTATTTTGTTTTCCATAGTTTTACTGAGAGCTTTGTTAATCTTAATTTCGGTCCTCTTGTCCTCTGCTGATCATTCAGTGACCAATCACCCGCCCAAAATCGCTGAAACCATCTATTAAGATGTCTCTTATTTACATTATTTATTCTGAAAGTCTGATTAATTGACGTAGCTGTCGCTTGTGATGATTCCCATATTTTGAAGCAGAAATGCGTTACAACTCGTCGAGCCGTTTTTTTTTTCCATTTCGACAACCCCCTTGTTCAATTCAACAGAGTAAAACAACAATGTTTATAATAACAAATACCAATGCCGTCATTTAATTTTCAATTAAAAACTAGAAAATGATGAGAACTGTGTCTTTTAAAAAGTTTGGAGATAAATACACGTGGATCCTTTTTTAAAATCTGTTTAATGTGTTTGTCTTTTCATTCTAAGAAAAAAAAATACACTTTAAAACATGACGTTCCGTTATGACGCGGCGACAACCCCTATGCTCTATGTTTTAAACATCTATAAAATAAATTCAAGTAAACATTATTAAATTAAAATTTCAACGAAAATTAGATTTATATTTGTGCATCTTTTGGTATATTGCATTTGATAATATGACACCAAATATAAAAGATATGGACACTGTGACATTACTTTTGGATCAACCCCTGGTACATTTTGTGTTATTACATTACGCGTCGAGTTTGGCGCAGAATGTAATTAATCTAATTGATCAAACATTTTTGGCCTACTGCATTTTTTTGTTCTTACATTTTGCTTCGATTATTACACTCTTTGACGTAAAGGACAGATGCTACCAAAACAAATGGATGCGGGGATTGGTACACGTATATACAGCTCCGTGCACATTCTAAGCTCACATGGTTTTTCGATCAAATTAAGGTCACACGTTACATTCTTTTTGAAATAAAACTGAACATTATTGAACTTCAGTACGAGACATATCCTTCATATGCATTAAATATCTCATGTCAAAGGTACATATTGTTTTAAATCACCACCGTAAGTTTCAAAGTCGAAGGTTTTAAAGTTGACTTTAATAATGAATGTGATGATTGTTCCATTGGTATGATTCTAACATAGGTATTTACAAATTAAAATAATCGAGCTTTCTTTAATACTAATTAGTTGAAATTTTCCGAGATGTCTTTGCTCTTTATCCAAACTCGTCTTGGTTTTGCCGAAATGTAGCACGGAAACTTGAAATTTAGCAGTGGGATGTATCTTCCATGATGCTAGATTTCACAAAGTAACCCTTAAGAAATACCAACTTTTTAAATACGGAAAGCAGCCAGTTCTCATCGTCTTGCGCTCTACAGTCATATAAATGTACACAAAACACAATGGTTACTTGAGTTGCACTGTTTCTGTGTCTAGGCAAGGCAAAGAGCCGCTTTAATATGACGATGAGGAACTTTTTGAATGGCCCTCGTATTTGAGGTCGATCCCCGATTCTTGTCCTCTAATTGACGCTCCTTTGTCCGATCAGACTGAAATATGCATTATTATCGATCTTCTTTTGAAAACTAATATCGCCATTGTTCACACGAGTGTCTAGAAGTACATTTCAAAGTAACTTGAAAAATGCACAATCAATTTTGAGTACAACAATGGTGCTTTCTTGGCGCAGGCTATGCTCCAGCTGGTAAAATGGCCCATTGTTCAGTAATTATTCAATACGAAAAAATACATGTACGTGCAGGATACAGTCTAGGAATATTTTTCTTCCCAGCAAATTGTAAAACAGACGAATATTGATCAAATCCTTTGAATAGAAAACTGGTTGTTTTGTTAAACGTAGAGCTAAGTTTATTTGAGCGTGATCGGACATAACTATTTGAACATCTCTAGAACTGCGGAATCGAACTTATTGGGATCTTTATTTAATGAAAGTAAAAAAAACTTTCTTCCAAATTGGAAAACTGGGGGTGTTTGAAATAATTTTAATCTCGGTAATCATTACGAATTACCGAATTTCGAAATTTAAAAACAAAAACGTCTTTTTATGAAATATATAATAAAATAATGGTCTGTCTGACACAATATTTCTTTAAAATTCTAACAAACATACACCATATTTTCTCAGTTTTGCATCCAATCGATTCAGTGGTGCTTTTGCTTAATTCAGATGTTACATCTTTACCTCCCTAAATCATACAGTGTGCATTTGAAATGAATCAAATGAGGACATAATTTACAAGGAAGAAAATGCCATTAATTATTCTTTTACAAATTTGACGTAAAATGAGGAAGTACATGCATTTCAATAACTCCTTGAAGGAATTATTAAAAAATAGTACTTCTTTTGAAGCTCCACACAAAACATGAACAATGAACACTACACTTTAAATATTAATTCAGTACTATCATTTCACTTAACAAAGACTTTATCTTATAAATTGCTTTGTTAGACAAGCGCTTTGAAAGCTATTGCTTTGTTCAAGTTATTCTGATTATAAGAAAATGGAACGAAGATTTGTTGGAGAAAGAACTATAATGGGAAATGAAAGCAGTCGACCTAATGAACACTACCTTTGTCCAAAACATGCACTGGTCATCAGAAAAAAATGATTTGTTGACATAAAGATAAACACAGAGTTGTAAATGTAATGAAAATAGTATTTTCCTCATCGATGACACAATCAATAACCTACATACATATAGAATTTATAGATTTCATTTCAGAAAAATTATGCTTTTTTCTGTCGTAATCTATTGCAAAAAGCTTAACGTACTAACGGATTGCACAGTTGTTAAATATTACTTGAAATTAATAATCGGATAAGATAAAAAAAAGCTACTGCATATTTTTATGCTTCATTTATTTCAATAAACTAGTGAGCTAGTAAAATTCATTCAGTTTTATGTCAATTAATTCAAACGAAATAGCATTAATAGGTGGATGTAACCTGTAGACGTTTATAAGAGAAAGCAGTACAAGTAACAAAAAACATAATCGTATATATACAATTTTGTTTTAAATTAATCACAAACAAATCACTTACCACTTCCAGAATCATAAATTAAAAAATCCAAATGTGAGAAAATATATCGTTTCCCAAAGTTTGGTCATACAACTCAATTTTTGAAGCCAATACTCAAATGAAGTTTGATATTTAAAGAACCCATAGTCAAGCAATGGGTATTAAAAAATCACTATAACCCAGTAAGGACGATCCGCATGCGTCGAACATATTTAAATGTCGTTCTCCATATAGGCGAGTTTCTGCAACACCCTCTTTGGTTAATGATAGAGATGTGGTGCTTTTTATTTTGCTACATGTTAGTTGCTTTTATATTTTGTATATTTCACAAGTAAGGTGATTTATGAAATAGTACCTGTTGTAATTACAACGGCTCATAATTTGGTATATAAATTCGAAGACGCTTCTAAGAAAGAGTGACTAGAAAGCTTTCCTGCAGTCAATTCAGTATAAAGGAAAGGCCTAACATTTGGTTTGAAACAAGTTTACTAAAACACGACCCTATTTGCTACCACTGCCATTATAAAGACTATAAAATTTATGAAAATGCAGGCTTTAAACGAGGGTGTTGAAATCCCTGAAACAAATAACATGCCTCACTAACAACACAGGTAATCAAAGATTACGTAGCTCGCCTCGACAAATATTATCTGTTACTAAGGCAATTTTTATAGTGAGTCCATGAGTGCACCCATACATGTTTGGTTTAATGAAGATTTATAGCTACCTGAGAATGGACCTAATTTAATAGATTTAAGATATTCACTTATCGAGAAAAATGACAGATTCAGACATCTGGAGAAAGTCTAAAAGGTTCATCATCCATGAAAGTTTAATCACAACAGGCCTTAGAATTTAAGAATTAGTCCAAAATTTAGTGAATCATGCGACTTAGTAGAAACGACATTAAACATGTTTATGTCCTACAATGTACAAGTACTAAATAGCATTTTTTTTAGATTTACAAAAGTGGAATATTTTTCTAAAATTTCTAGGTAATAAATTTGAAATAAAGTTAAATAATTTAAGAAGCATGGGGCACGTTACATTTAAATGCATTAGAGTAAACAGATTATGTTAAATGTCATATGAAAGGAGATAATATTTAGAAAGCTCTGTTTACAGTAGAGAGTCAGCTGGGTTGAAAGAAGCACATGTACAACTTAACGACATTGCTGCTTCCTGATTACAACCGTGTTGCCCCTCCATCTTCAGAACGTTATCCAATGAAGGTATGAAATTCAATCAAGAATGAATCATTAAAAATATCATTTTTAGACTTTCGCATATTCTTTTGTTGTTTGTGGGCATTAGTGGAAATCATCAATACTAAATATTGCGTATTTCTAAAGGATATTTCTTCTCTCTGAACGGATTTGTCCACAATAATGTTAGAAAAAGTTTTAAAGCAATTTTTTTTTCGGGAATCTTATTTCAGATAGTTTATTTTTGAACTAAAAACAAAAACGGCAAATACAATCATTCATTTTATGAAAAACCTACGGACTCGCTCCTTAACTGCTTTGCAAAAACTTCAAGTAATATACCACAATGCGTATTGTTCATTTAGACTACTGAATTCTGTTTGGATTGTTTAATTTTAAACAGTCCTCTTGTATTAAATTAAACAGGATAAATATATATATCATACGTAACATTTGTACAGTTGGTTGGCTATGTCTTAGGTTACTGGACTTTGTTGTGAAAAGGGTGGGTCCGAATACACAAGGCATGTTTTAAAATGAACAAATATCAATACAGTGAAATATTACGCAATAAACTATTTTTTTTTAGATATTATGAATTTCAACAATTTAAAATTATAAAAACACTTATATAATATTTTAAATCTGTGCTTTTTACTTTTTTTAATGACTGTCATTTCTTTCATTTAGATATTTGTCTCTTTGGACGAAAGTAATTACTTAATATATTCATTTACCATGACTCCGTCTAAAAGTGAAAGAATTTGACCTTAAAGATCATAATCGGTATGAAAATTTATGATCGGTATGCAAATTTCCTCAATATTTATTGATTTTGTAGACAGCCTTGGTTTTAATACACTATTTATTCTTGTTTGAGAGAATTATCTTTGTAAAATGTAAAATTTACAGAATATTTGGAGACAGTTTTAGGTTGCTCCTTTGTGCCTATTTAAATTGCGTGAGGACTGTTTTTCAAATTATTCAAGTTGTGTAAGATATATTAAAATCTGAATGTTAAAGGAGAAAAAGAATTTTTTTAATAAATACAATGATTTAACATGCAATCATGTGTAATTTTGTCCTTAATAATCAATTGTCAGCTTATAAATTGCTCAGGAGTCGAAGGTTTTATTAAGTTTTAGGCACGACATACCTGAAAGAAAAGTGTAGTTAATATTGTACATGTATTTCATTTTCTATAGTTCTACTGAGAGCTTTGTTAAACTCAGAATTTATTACATTCGTTTTTTAAATGAACAACTCAAGATCAACAGAACGAAATCATGTAAAAGTACTAACATACGTTTCTTTATTATTGCATTTTGTGCTATTACATTCTGCGTCAGGTTTGGCGCAGAATGTAATTAATCAAATTGATAAAACATTTCTGGCCTATATGTATTTATATTACATTTTGCCATATGGCGTAAAGGACAAATGATAACAAAACAAAACAAAAAAGAATGCTTGGATTGATATATAATATTAGCCCAATTTCTTGATAAATCTGTATAGAGCTCCGCGAACTTTATAAGCTCACATTGTTTTCTTGCACAAATTAAGGTTACATTCTTCTTGTAATAAAACTGAACCTTATCGACATTCAGTTACCCTAATATATATTTACTTAATATATCATGTAAAGGATAAGATAAAAAAGTATAATAGAAAATCGCGCAACTTTTAAAAAGAAAATTATTTGACATATTGGGTCTCAAACTTGAAAATGTAGGATGTGTCGTTTACTAATTATTGATTTAGAAATTCAAATAATGAGTACACGACATTTTGTATTCCTTTTGTTTTATTTTTGGTTTGGGGACCAAACCTATTGTGGCCAGGGGGGTAATTTGTCATGTAATCATTTTCAACTTCAGATTGAAAATTAATAAAAGACATTTGTCATGGAGAAAAACTTACAGTTTTTTCCATATACTTATTAATCTCTGAAATATGTAATTAATTTTAAGAATTCAAAACATTAATTTTTATTTTTTTTAAATATTTCATAAATTACTGATATTTATGTCAAACATTTAAGTAAAATTAATTATTAAAGAATTGATGTTAAATTGATTTTTATGCTAAGAATATATGTTCAGAATTTTTATATACATTTCATTTTAGATTTTGTCTGATTACTCTGAAGTGTCATGTTATGTATTGCACATGTCCACTTTACTTTATCGGAAATGCCAAAATTGAGGTTTCTTTGTTCGATTGATAAAAAGTTTTTCTAGCGAGGGCTTCGCAAACTTTTTGGGGTAATTTTGTTGTAAATGTTTTTATAGCATCCATTTGATGTAGTCCATGAGTGATAAATTCTTTGTTAACGGATTAACGAAGTCCCTAGAATTATTTACCTGGCCAAGTGTTGTTTAATTAGTTGCGTCACAAAGACCTATAGATTAAGTGGACACGCAATGACCAAGTGATCCTTTGTAATGTAGTTTTTTTTCGTCAACCATTATCTCCTAAATCATTTTTGATTGGTTAAAAAGAATATCTCAGATTTTTGAGTTAAGCAGGTTGCGCGTCCCGGCTGGTCACTTTTCATCATTGAATAAAACCAGCCGGACGTTAACTTATTCCTGCCTTCTTTTAATTCATATAGGTAAATATATTTTTATTATTTTTACTTAGGTAATAACTTTTTAAAGTCATTGTAATTAACAAAATTTTTAAAGTAAGGTTCATTCAGTTAAAGAATTTATTTAAAAGTTTTATTTACTAAATTTTATTAAATTTTGGTCATTGTTTATTTTTGTCTGTGTCTTAATTAGTTAGAAATCATTATAGTGTAGTAGTTACTTTGTTACGCATATCTAATGCAAACTTGTTTACAGATTAAAGGTATGTAGTTAAATAGTTCTTAGGTTGCACAGTAAACTTTGTAATTTTCATTTTTTGAATGGGATCGGGATCGGAATGCAAATTATTGTTAGACTGAACAGACTTACTTTCAATGTTGTTAGAAAATGTGTGAGATGATCGCCGATATGTTATTTGTGATTTATTATATAATAAGGGCATTTATAGTCTCGAAAGCTTTTAAGCATTTACGCATGTTTTCGCATTTTGAAGTAATGTCAGGTAAAGTAGAATTTGCAATGTTTTTCAGTTCTATCTATTACGTAATCGCTCCCGCGTCTCCGATCCCAACCTTATTGTTTACATAAAAAAAATATGTCAGGTCATTTTTAAACAATGTTTTATTTTTGGTTTGTTTTAACTAAGATATTGATTTATGATTGTTATTTTACTTCTTTTTATAAATTAAAATAACTTTACATGTTTAATTAATTAGTACATTTTATGGAATTACATATTAATTACATTGGTAAATTTGTAAGGCCTTGAGTCGCTCTTTATAGCTTTGTTTTATAACTGGTAACTTTTCATCATTGAATAAAACCAGCCGGACGTTAACTTATTCCTGCCTTCTTTTAATTCATATAGCCTCAACAAACGGATTGATCCATTGGGTTGAGAAGCTGCCCAAGTCTATGTCCATAACTCGAAAACAAGACACATATAGACGAAACAGAAAAGGTTGTGACTTAGTAACGTATTTCCAACTCGGCCTATGGCGCTTCTTATCCCAATGCTTCCAATGCGTTTGATAAGGGGAAACCGTTTTACTTTATAAGGCAGAAATAAAGATGTTCAAAACAACTTAGAATATTTTCTGGATTTATTAAGTATTTCTTTCGGACTACAGTTTGGTCTTGACGGCACGGCTGTCCGTCTCCAACTGACTAACAAACAACAAGTTTGAGTAAAACAAAATAAGCACAAAGAAGAAATTAAGTGTCACACAAAGAGAAAAGATAAAAGAGTGACATTCTATAGATGGACCATTCAATCAGCATGCCACATAA